CCTCCCGCTTTAACTGCTAGTACGTGGATTACAAATCGCACAGTTTGGGCTTTATTCAATTGAAGACCAGCATTCACGACTATTTTCCTGGGCAGTTACAGAGATTCCAATAAACACGCTGTCAGACGATGATACGACAAGGGAACTGTGCTGATATGGACACTGAATTTAACATTAACGGGTAGATTTAACGGGCAGATTTATACGGATATATCTTGCAAGACATTTTATATTGCAAAAATAATTATATTCGTAGATATAATCTACTAGTAGAACTGTTCGAAGAGTTGTCATAGTATTTCAGTGTAGGGAGGTGTAGGTTAGGTGGCGATAACCGCTTAGGTTTCGACGTGTACATATGGACAGTGGCAGTGACGTCACTGATATACGGTACTCGTGTTTTAGACGCGCGATAAAGATTTCGGACGTGAAAGCGGGATTATTTTACACATTATAGAGACGATGAGTTGAGAACCTAAATTATTCAAATAGTTAAAAGAGGGGTGAGTCTCGCATTTAAAATGAAATAGTAAAAAAGAGTCATGAGTTGAGAGATCCAAACTGTTGGCCAGTCGCACCACACTACTGGAATACTGGAAATGTTAACCCAGCTGTCAGTGAGTGCCCCCCCCCCCGGTCTTACTCTTGCCATTTCAAAGCAATTGACTATATAAGGAATTGTATCTAGTATCATACGTAACAACATATTAGCAATACAAACATACCATGCTTTCCAAAATAGCAATTTGAAAGTAGAGTGAGATTACAATCTTAGAAGCGTGATACATCGAATGGAACAACATAATTTGTTTTGGTTGATTTTTTTTGCAATCGAGACTCTGTTATTGAAACCAGTTGTGATTGGTCATTCTAATTTACGATAACCTAATTAGGTTCATCATCAATTGAAGAGCTGCATTATTAGGATGTCATCGATACGACTACGAACACTACCCGCTGTGAGTATGTAATATTATCGGCACGCGTACATACAAACATAACGAGGTAAAACATACAATTTAATTGGATGCAAACCGACACTGCACGGAGAACCTGCACAATCTCATGAGCCTGCCATTGATGATATACATTATACTGACCTCTCGGTTTTTAATACTGTTATTAACGAACTCGGGGCAGAGCTTTTGGATATCATCGTTTACTGATGATTTGCCTTGCGTCGGATATTAATGTCTGAACGCTGGTTTGGTAATTAGGAAGTAATGATATATATGGCAATCATAAGCCATGCCATCCCGTATAGCATGGAGTTGAATGTAATATCGTACAAACTGAGACGAGTTTACGCACAATATTAGAAATGGTATAATGGAAAATCGCAATATGTCGATAGAATTTACGTTGACAAATTGAGTACACTTACTTCTTGATATTTTCTTCGTCTTTCTCATCATTACGTCCCATTGATTCTCGGAATCTGCAGTATTTTCGTCAAATTTAAGGTAATCAGCAACTGTCAAGTTTTTCTTCCTGGCTCCTTCAAATATCCCGTCTGCTCGGACCACCCAATCACTGGACAACGACGAAAGAAGAATAAATCGATGCCAATCATAGAAGCGGCACATCTTGACAAAAAAATTACCGATTTTTTCCATTGCTCCCCACAGGCGAGTAAGAAGAGGGTGGCCATTCTTGTCTCCCAGATATGAAGCGCCGCCAACACCAGTTAGTATTGGGATGTTCCAATGCGAACATAATTTAGAGCAACTGGCGACTGCTAGTGAACAAGCTGGGCCAATCGCGGCGTGAATATTACCCTTAAGTCGTATATAAAAGTCGGCTAAGATACCAACTGAACGTATATCAGAACACTCAGTGTCAAATACAGTGTAGTTTAAAACAAAATTGTATTTCGAGTGAGTTGCATCCATCGCTATTTCTATCGCAGGGAAAGTCCGACTCCAACAGAAAGGTCGGAAGGTGTTGTAGCGTTCTGGTAGAAACACTGCCACATTCATGATCAGTATTGGGTTTATGTTCTCAGGAGAAGTAGTTGGCACAATATCAGTCGATGTAATGTTCTGTTCGAAATACTCAGTATAGTTCAGACTAGTATTTGTGGCAGTGTCGAGAGACGGGTGCATATTGCAGTTGAATGCTGTGACATGTCCGTACTGTTGAAGTTCCTGGGACTAGTAGCCAGAAGACAAGGTGAAGGGAGTACTTTGGTTTGCTATGTAATCGGTCATTGTGGTCTTCGTAGTTAACTGTAACCCTGTTCGTTGTCGGGATTGGGGTGGAATTAATAGTGTCGTTTTGGGGTGTTGTGGCGTCTTGTAGTTTTGTTAAACGTTGATGATTGTAATGTTGTTTTCGGGACAGTGGTTGAAATCATGGTTTCACTTGTAGCTGTAATGGCGTATTCCGACTTTGTTGAGTATAGCGAATGTGGGGTTTTGGTCTGAGCGTTAGAGAGCAAAACTTCGACTGCAGTAGTAGCCGGGTCCGTGGGGAGAGTGACATTTTCTTCTATATAGTTGTTTAAAGTATTGGCTTCGTCTGTTGTAACGGAATTCAGTGACAAATCCGTAATATTCATTTGCGGGTATTCAGGACTAGTGGCAAAAGAGGATGAAGTGAGCGAAGCGCTTCGATTTTCCACTGTGGTATTTGAAGTTAAAGTTGCCTGTGTGTTCGTTGTTGGGACTGTAGTGGAGATCACGGTGTCGTTTGTAGATGTTGTGGGGTTTACTGGTCTTGTTAACATTGGTGATGATGGCGCTGTGGTCGGAGCGTAGGACGGTAAAAGTTCGGCTCCGCCAGTGGAATCAGGGTTCGTAAGATGAGTGGTATGTTCTTCTCTTCCATCATTTGCAGTTACAGTATTGGTTAACCCATGCGATGTCATGTTGGACGTGGACACATGATTTGGTTCAACAGTTGAGACGTTTATATATTCCCCAGACTCGTCCACTGACGGTAACGTTACAGGCATCCCGATTACGATACTTTCCGGCGTTGTTACTGCTTCGCCTGGGTTGTTGGCGTCATTAGAAGTCATCGTGGTTTCGCCAAACACAGTCGACTCCGTCGTAGTAATTGTGTTAACCTGAAAATCGTTTTTGGTTGTCACACTGGAATGGTTACTGGATATTGTAGTACTTACGTCAGGACTCAAAGATTCCGTCGTGTGATGAACCAGTAACGTTTCCGACAGTTTTGGATCTGCTGCGTCAGTCATTACAGTGACGTCCGTTCTCATGGTTGATGGTTGAGTGGCGTTAAGTTGCGAGGTCTTGGCACCTGCCGCCGCCGTGTCGTGGGCACCTGAAGATGAAGGCGACGTGGTAGATTGGACACTTGTTGTCGGTGTAGAATTCATGCTCGCTTTTATCGGTACTCCTACGGACACGTCAACGAATACGCAGAACAAAGCTATCCACAGTACAATATACAGCTTTGAAAATACCATGATGAAAAATTGGCTTCTGGTGGATTCACGCATGTAATCAGCTTCTCGCTAACTCAGAATCGACAAAATGATTGATTCACTTAGCTGCAACGGCGAATCATGTTAACGAAGTCCCAAATCGATATGCCAAGAAGCAGAAACAATATGTAGCGAGAAATTGGATATAATGTATGAATGAAATTCACGGAACACTGACACTATAGATGACGGAATCGACTAATCTTTATTTCGTTATTGCAGGCAACATGACAACACATTAAAGAATCAGCCTGCGCAGTTGGTTCCGCGCAAGCAAATCTTCTTTCATTTCATTTTCATGGTAAAGTCATATGACGACATTTTCCAAGGTTAGGACCTAATCATTTATTTTTGTAGATTGGGTTATCGGCCATGCCATTATAATAACATTATATTTTTCCATTGTTGAAAACTGTAATAATAAGTCTTTTGGCTGTTTTTCACTTTTTCTGTTGGATATTGGTCAATATAAAAATAACAAAACGTGCCTGTCATTGTACAGTGCAATCAATCACTCCAAATGACATCATACTTTACACACAAACCTCGATTTAATTAACTGAATAATTAACAAATACAAATAATAATTATTCAATCTATTTTTTGCCATATTTATTCACAGTGTTAGAATAAATTATGATTTAATTCATTAAACTACAACGTGATTCACTACGTCTGTTTACATATAAATTACGCAACACTGAGATAACCATGACATTTACATAATTCGTTATTGCCGTTCAGTGGGATATGGAAAAGGAATGTAGGCTGTGTTCTAGCAAGAGGAATCACCGTCTTGCCCTTGATTTTCACATACGAGTACAAATTATGTAATTAAAGCGGGGGAGTCGTCACCTGCGCATGCGTCAGATGGCCATTGCGTTTTTAGCGTGTGTGTTGTTATCGTCGCTTGGGACTGAATTGCCGCGCGTGCGCAGGTGACGACACTCCCGCTTAAAGTTATGTTGATGTCGTCATAGCGTACAATAATCTTTGTATTTACTCAGTACATTCGATTACTTCATAACGTACATTAGTCGCCATATTTACTCAGTACTAGTACATTCTTACTAGAATCGCGGTTACAAGACGAAGCGTGCTGGAATGTAATGATCCGCGGTAGCTCTATTAGGGCCATGGACCAGAAAATTCAAAATGATAACCTTATTTGTTATAATCACGAATAAATACCTATATCATTTAAAACGGGTTGTTAAAGCGCGGTTCGTCGCGCTGCGCATGTGCCACATTTGTGTTGATAAACATTGATTTTCCCACAATCCAATGCGCTCTTCAAATGGAAATCACAAGTATGAGGTCTGACCTGGGCGCGACTTGCACTGATTACCGCCGGTGACTCCTTCGATGCCTTCCAATAACATGAAAATTACTTAATTAAAGCTTGGAAACGTTCCAGTTCGTACTC